TGTATATAAAAACAAAATCAAACATGGAGAGTCTCAAAAACCCGTTTGTATGAGGAACTACTTTCTTCCGTGTTGGATTCAAATCATAAGCTGACAGTTAAACAGCTGAGCAAGCATCTTTTAAACTTTAGATCTGTAGTGTCTGCTTTTTGCGAGCTGTATGTGAGCAGAGTAATACACACAGGATAAAGAGGCTGTACGGGTGCTGATATTACTTAAATAAAAAAAAAATATAAAAAAATAAAAGCTAGACCACACAGAACCTAAAAGGTACACTTTCAAATTTGAGTTTATAAAAAAAAAAAAAAAAAGCGACTCTTTTTTTAGGTGTTTATTATAACACAGACAAAATATACAGATTTTTACAATCCTTTTATTAGTGTTTTATAAAAAATTCAAAGGGTTTTCTTTAAAATGATACCAAATTTTTGCATTTAGACCCCTGCATGTGGATTTGGGAAGCTTTTAAATTTGGGTAGACAAAATCCAGACGGAAATCTCAAAATAACAGCAGAGTTTAACTGGTTTATTTGTAACATCTGTTAAACATCATATAAGAAATATTTGAAAAAGAAAGAACAAAAATCACAGGAGGGTGAATATTTTAAAATATAGGCAAAATATCAGGGTTGCCACTCTAAGCCAATTGTGCCATTCCTTAAGTTTTCCCTGACATTCATTGATCTAAAAGTGTTTTTTTTTAATGATCTATACTGTATAATGAACAGACAAACAGGCAGCTCTTGCAATGTTTGTAATGCTGAAGAAACAATACAAAGTTCACGAAAGATAAGAAACCAGACAGATTGTTTGATAGCAGTTTTATGGAAGGCACAATAAGCAATAAATCTGAGACATAATAAAACCTATTAAATCATAAAACCACTGGTACTTGTGATCTCGGGTGCTTAAGGCTCATTTAATACAGTCTTAAAATCATACTCATTTTAAAGCATGTGCAAAAGTCCAAAACGGTGTTATATGACAACTGAAAATACTGAATTACCTTCACACAGAAGCCGTAGTCTGTTGGCGCTCCGTAAACCTTTTTGGCAGATAATAACGTGTAGACATCGCTGTCACTAAACTCCGCGATGAACTGCAAGTGTCTGGGTTCCTTCAGAAAAGAGAAAATAATGACGATATTTTATTCATTCATTTTCCTTCGCCACAGCGGAATAAACCGCCAACTACTCCAGCATATGTTCTACGCAGCGGGAGCCCTTCCAGCACTCATTGTAAAGCTGCTTTGGCACAATAATTATTGTAAAAAGCTCTATACAAGTAAACTTCAATTCAATATAATGTGTGATAATGTATGGGATGTGTGGAGTGTGTGTGAGACGCGTGTGTTCGCGTATCATTCGAGTGTAAAGTTCCAGCAGGAGCGCTGTCTGCTCTACCAAGAAATAAATCCAAACATGTGAGATTTGAATGGCATCTCACAGACTGTCAGGACACGAGCGACAGGCATGGAATCTGTCATTTAATATACTGAAGAGCGCTTGTGTGTGTGTGTGTGTGTGTGTGTGTGTGTGGGAGTCCGTTCACAGACTCTAGAGACAAAAGAGTGGACCTGTGCATATGTGGACAAGACACCACAAACTATTAACATTCATTCACAGACAATAAAAACTATCATTCATATTCAGAACAAAAAAAATAATTAATTTATATACATTCATATATTCGAGAACCAGGCAGAACCAATCGCCTCACAGCAAGAAGGGCACTGGTTCGAGCCCAAGTTGGCATTTCTGTGTGGAGTTTGCATGTTCTCCCCATGTTTGCATAGGTTTTCCTTCGGGTGCTCCAGTTTCCCCCACAATCCAAACACATGCGCTATAGATGAATTGGGTAAGCTAAATTGTCCATAGTGTATTTGAGTGAATGAGTGTGTATGGATGTTTCCCAGTGATGGGTTGTGGCTGGAAGGGCATCCGCTGTGTAAAACATATGCTTATAAGTTGGCGGTTCATTCCGCTGTGGCAACCCGAGATTAATAAAGGGACTAAGCCGAAAAGAAAATTAATGAATGAGTGAATATACAACACCTCTGCCTGGTTCTTGAATCTGATTGGCTGCAATATCAGCACTCATACAGCCTCTTCACCCTTTTGTATTACTCCGCCCACATAGAGTGACAGCAGATCAATAAACTCACTACAGTTTGACAAATATTACTGCTGTTGGGCAGCATAATGTACTTTTGAGACTTTTTTTAGGCACAAATGTGGTTGTTTAGATTGCAACTATGCCATTGATTTATAAGGATATTGCCTATTTTAAATACTTATTATTTCTGAGGCGGTCATCAGCCTCTCATACTGAGCAGAGCAAAGATGGTTGATGTTCTGCCACAAGATGGCGACAGAGATCGCATAATAAGTCCTTTGAGGTGTAATTTCAAACTACAGCTGATCAAATCACTCCTTTTTTTATATGTTGTAGTCCTGTATTTATACCATAGTAATCTGGTAGTGTTTGCGCTGCTTTGGCTTTTTCAGGTTAATTATTAAGATCTCCCAATTGCAACAGACAAATACTGGGAAATCTCTGTAGACTGATGACATTTCATGCCGTTCAGCCTTATATTCTTAAAATGTGAGCAAAATCAGCTGTTTTGTCATCACTTTAGACATTACTCTAGAGAATCATTTAAACACTAGCTCTAAAGTGATTTTGGTGAATGAGCAACGATTTCTACCGTTCTGATGTCAGCTGCAGATGTGAATGAATGGCGCAAGAAAGTAGTTCCTCATACAAAAGGATTTTGAGACTCTCCGTGCTTGATTTTGACGAATATGACGTCGAATTGTTGTTTAAGCGTATTATCACACGAGTTGCAGAGCAATATGGCCGTATGTGAGATTCGGAAGCTCTTATTTTGAAGCTCAGAAAACGCTTGTGAATCACACAGTTCGGAAACTGTTAATTAACAGATTTATTTATAGTGTAGCCAATCATTGCAGACAAGAAAAATAAATTAGGGACTGCATGATGAATGAAAAAATTGCAGTAAATGTATTGATACAGCCCTAAAAATATACTGGAGTAAAAGTAGATTTTTTTTATCTACTTAGTGTAGCAAAGTACAATTCCTGAGGAAAAAAAAAATACTATTTGAGTTATATGACTGCAGTAAAAAGACTGCATCAGAGAAGGGCAGCTCTGAGTTCATTCATTTCTTTTCCTTAGTCCCTTATGGCCTGCTACAACTGAGTGGTATGATACGGTACGGTTTGGTACGGTTCGGTACGCTTTTATGGCCATTTCCTCTGTCAATAGGTACCTAAAAGTGTACCAAACACGACAAAAGAGTACCAAAAGGCAGAGCAAGATGCGCAACTGAACGCTATTAGTTTACAGAAATACGTCACTCGCAGAAGCAGGAGAATGAAAACAAAGGAAGCTGCATTTTTAAAAACACAGCCAAGAAATTACACTGTAATAATATATACATATAACAACAAGCCATGGTCGACCCAGGCTCAAACAAACCTTGCCGTCGTCTTGATGAACAGCCACAAAGCCAAAAAGAACAAAATCCGCCGTGTCTTGTTGTTGTTTTACGTGGCCGTCTAAAAGTGCGATCGGTTTCGCTTTCTCCAGAGAGCTCGCCGCCAGACTATATTTGAAATAACGTACTTCTTGAGCTCATATTAATAGCGTGCGCATGATTATTGAAGCGCTGTAATATCTGATCCTTCAGAAACGGACAAACGTGAGAGTGAAGCACGTGAGGAGAAGCCGGAAAAAACAGAGCAGCAAATGATTCTTTCAGCGACCTAAAACATAAACAAACAGCCATGTTTAATTATTATCATCACATTTTGGACTGTTATGAACTAGGAATGATGGAAATACTTTCTAACAAGAGGTTACATGTGCTGCTGAAGATTGAACATACATGTGAGAGGTTTGCTCTGACTGTGCGCTATATTTCGTGATGTTTTTAAACCCAAATAAGGGCTATATGTATGCGTTGTGTAGTTTTTCTGTAATTGGTAACATTTCGGAGACTGTAAGGGGCTGTATGTGTTCATATATGTTGCATTTATTTATTTATTTTATATAATTGCAGACGTTAAAGTTGGTTATTTCGCACTGTCATTGATCTGCAGTTATAATCAAATCATGTTTATAAGGTTAGTAATGAACATTTATACACAAGAATTTATGTGTAAAAGCATCTGTTTTATGAGAAGTGCAGTAAAGTGCAGTACTGTACGGCGTAACTGTGACATTTCCTCCAGTAAAAATGACGTCGACTGAAACTTTCTATCGTACTCCATACCCACCATTGGTACCCTTTTGGCAGTGGAAACGCAGGCTTTGTAAAGGTGACCAGTACCTCTCAGTGAAAACGGGCTATTATATATCAGGGGTTGATACAGTGGAATGAACCGCCAACTATTTCAGCATATGACACACAGCGAATGCCCTTCCAGCTGCAACTCAGTACTGGGAAACACCCATACACACTCATTAGCACACACACTCATACACTATGGTCAATGTAGTTCATCCAATTCACCTGCAACGCATGTGTTTGGACTGTGGGGGAAACCGGAGAACCCGGAGGAAACTCACGCCAACACGTGAAGAACATGCAAACTCCACACAGAAATGCTAACTGACCCAGCCGGGACTCGAACTAGCAACCTTCTTGAGGCAACAGTGCTAACCACTGAGCCACTATGCCAACCAGCTCTGAATTCAACTCTATTAATCTGGGAACTCAAAACTGACTTTTTTACATTTAAGTGATCGTAATCAGTAAGAACAAGTGTTATTTTGGCCAGTTAAAGCTAATCTGTGTGAGTCAGAGACTGAAGTCACCTTTGATGTGCCCTTGTTGGAGAAATACAGTCCTGATCTTCTTAACACAAAGTAAAACTTCTTCCAGGATTTTCTGCCATGCTCTTTGGCGTGGAGGAAGCCGTGAATCTCAGGACAGGAACTGGAGCTGAGAAACGTCTGCAGGAGAAACAGCAGACACAACATAAACACACTCGCAGCATAGGAAGGTTTGGTTGAAATAAAATAAAGGTTGTAAAAAAAGAAAAAGTAAAAGAATAATATAATAATAATAATAATAATAATAATAATAATAATAATAATAATAATAATAATCATAATCATAATAATAATAATAATAATGATGATGTAAAAATAATAATATAAAAAACAATTAAATTATGATAATGATAATAATAATAATAATAATAATAATAATGATAAAATAACGATTACATAAATAAAAATAACAATAAAATAAAATTTTAAAAATGTATAAAACAAAAAAAAAAATAAAAATAAAATAGCAAAATAAAATAAAATAAAATAAAATAAAATAAAATAAAAAATGAGAGATTCTCCTAGATTAAGAATTTTTAAAATATCTGTCAAAACATATTTTTTCTCTTCGGCTGAATCATAATTCTTTAGGTTATATTTTGTGGAGAGATCTTTTTAAGATGTTTCTATTATTTTGACATATCGGATAAAATACTGTTCTTTTGCCAATTATTTGTGTATTTGACCAGATTATAAAGCATTTTGGTCAATATTTTAGTTGTTTTAAGGTGTAATACAAATAAAGTTTAACATGAAAAAATAATTAAATGAAATATAATAGTAATAATACAATAATAATAATAATAATAAAAAAATAATAATAATAATAATTAACAAAAAAAATAAAATAAGTATTAAAATTTAAAATACTGTTCTTTTCTCAATTATTTGTTTATTTGACCGGATTATTATGCATTTTGGTCAATATTTTTTGTTGTTTTAAGGTGTAATACAAACAAAGTGTGACATAAAATAAAATAAAAAAAGAAATAAAAGTGAGGTTATGAATGAATGATGAAAATAAAAAGAAGTGAATTACAGGGAAATTGTAAAAAACATTTTCACTTTATTGTTAAATGAAATATATCATATATATATATATATATATATATATATATATATATATATATATATATATATATATATATATATATATATATATATATATATATATATATATATATATATATATATATATATATATATATATATATATATATATATATATATATATATATATATAT